TGTAAAGCTGGTGATCTACTCTGAAAACCTTCACTCAATTCACAATAAGAAAGTTTAAAAACAAACAAACAAATTTTGTATATGGAAGTTGGGGGACATTGGAAAAGAGGTGGTTTGGGTCAGAGTAGGGAATGAAGTTCCAGTCACCTCCAAGGGTCATGGAAGGCAGCTGTCCACAATGTGGGTGCTGAACGCCTGAAGCCAGGATGGGTCTAAGGATGCTTCATGGGATGTGGGTAGGTGATGTGAGGTGCTAATGCCTACCTCATGTGGGAGGAAGGGGGTTGGTCTTTCTTTTCTCCATTTCCTTAAAAAAAAAAATTTTTTTTTCCTTCCTCTACCTTTTCTCTCCTTCTATTTCCATTTTCTGATAATACCAACATTTATAGCATACCATCCCTAGAAAGAAGAGGGGAGAGTGTTCTACTTGCTCCCCAAGTTTCCTTATAAGGAGTTCACAGAGCACTAATGCCAGAAAACTCATAAAAGAACACTCTTCTCCCAAATTTAGGGTTTTAAAACTGGTTCTTATTGCTAAACTGGCCACTATAGCCTCTTTGAGGCATTGTTGTTGTCAAGTGCTGGTGACTCAGTTCCAACCCAGTACAGGGTTATTGAGGAGTGACCCTGTATAGGGTTAACAAGGAGCAGCTTGTGGGTTTGAGTTTCCAACCTCGTGGTTCACAGTCCAGTGCTTATCCTATATCCTGGAGTGGTGCTGTAAAATAAGCACTGGACTGCTAACGACAAGGTTGGTAGTTCAAATCCATCAGCAACTCCTTGGAAACACTATACAGGGTTGCTCTGAGTTGGAACCAACTTGGTGGCACTTAACAATAACACTGTTATCATTTATTTATCCCACTTCCCATTGCCACTGAGTCCATTCTGATTAATAGAGACTTTATAGGGCTTCCAAGATTGTAAACCTTTTTGGGAGCAGACAGTCTCATCTTTATCCTATGGAGCAGCTGGTGAGTTTGAACTGATTACCTGTGGTTAGCAGTCAAACACTTAACCCCTATTATTAAAAGTTATTATGGATTAAGCATTTATTGTTGGTCAGGCAGCTTACCAAGAAATTTGCTCCCCCAATCCTATTATCTCTGTTTTATAGATCATAGTTTGGTTTGGAACATCAGTAGTTGTGATTTGTGCTATTTATTCAATAAATTATTGCTGAGCCTACAGAAGCAAGGGGCAAGGGTGGAGGACAGGAAAGAGAAAAATCCATTGATACCCACTATTCATAGATGCTTTCAGCAGTCACTTTATTTACTCCTTATAGAAATCTTGTGAAGTAGAACTGCTATTATCTTCATTATAAAGGTGAGGACACTGAGATTCAGAGACATTATGTAATTGGCTGAGGTCATGCAACTAGTAAGTGGCTGAGTTTTGAAACATAGAAGCATCTGATTCTAAAACCTGTGCTCTTTTGTATGTGGTGCTTCTTTTATTTTAGGGACCAGTCACGCCTAAATCTAGTTTGATTTTGCCAAGTGAAAACTACTTTGCCTCGTTCTCCTGCAATTCCATTGAACTCTGGGTCTTTATGCTTGTTACATAATCTCTAGCTCTGGGAGCGCAACCTCCAGCACTGGGGCATGACAGGGGCATTCAGACTGCTGGTGAATGAAGGTGCTCTTATTTTCGGTAATTGCATACTTACTAGGTCATGAGACATCATCAAACCAAGATGGCCTTTGTTTGAATCCCCACCAGACAGTTTGGTCTCAGTATCAATATTGGAAATGTCAGTCTGGTAAACAGCCTTTAATAGGGGAGAGAAAGGCTGAGAACAGTCTCCTTCAAACAAAATTGTAGTGGATGGGAGTGACAGAGTCCACATCTTACTTGCTTTAAATCCTCTAGAGTGGCTATGAAAGAAAGGACTTGCTGGATTGAAGAGAAATAAAACCTTTTGATTCATCTGAATTAATTTTGTATCTCCTAGGAGGAGGTCACATGCATCACCCTCACGTTCTCCATCTCTGTATACAGCCTCCACAATCCCTAAGAACAAAAGATGTGTCTGTGGTGGGTAGTACCTACACTGCCCCTTTCTTGTAATTAATTCCACAGCAATTAATTCTATTTGTTCTGGGGGTCCTGAGCCTCAGGATGTCCATGGGCTTTGATCTTTAACCCACACACATCTGAAGGAGTGGGCAGCTGGTGCTCCAAGTCAGGACAGAGCCTGTTTCCTGTGACAGTACAGTTTGAATGATGGGCTTTTGGGAATAGTGGATTCTGTGAAGTTTGAGTGAAAAAAATTGAGAGCCACCTTTATACTTACAAAGCTGGGTGCTAACTTACATCACCCTCTACCTTGCTATAGGCCCTTTGCTTTCAGTTTTCAAAGGTGGAGCAGCTACGTGCATGGTCATTTGAGAGTGTTTGCCAAATCTAAAGTGGAGGGTGCTCACATTTATAGGATTTGACATTTGGACAACTAAAGATGGATTTTCACCTCCAAACCCATTCATATGTCTCCTTGGCAGAAATGGCATCCTCCTTTTTGTCTGGAACAGATCAGAACAAACCTTCAAGAGCTCAGCAGGACACTTCCAAGTGTCTCATGAGTGCTGTCTTGCCCAGGCCGGCTTTTATTCAAGCACAGCTTACTTCAGGCAGACTGCAGGTGGCAGACTAGTGCCATCCTGGGGAGACAAGTGACAGCCGAATACAGCGGTTCCTGTGTCCACTCAGAGGCATTTTCTCATCCAACCCTCTCAGTTTAAAGATGAGGAGATTGAGGCCCAGAGAAGTCAAACAACTTGTTCAGGTCCACAAAGATCATTGGTGAAAGAATCCAAATAGGAGTTAGCACTCACCTAGGAGGTAGAAGGGCTGCTGTAAAGAATTTGTATCTTCCAGCATCAGCCTGTCCAGGGGCCTGACTCTATAGAGCATTGGACTTGGAATTGGGACCTGGGTTACAGGTCTGACTCTGATCCCAAGGTGTTGTCACTTTGTCTCTTTGGATCTCAGGTTCTTCATTTGTAAAAGGAAGGGGTGGGGATGATAATACTACCTATCTTACAGTGTTTTGTTTGTTTTTAAATAATGATTAAACAAAATGACAAATGGGAAATTATAGTAAACACAAGTAAGAGAAGTTGCTGTGCTCACATAAAGTCTGATTTGAGAGTGACACAATTCTAAATAAGAAGAGCCAGCTGCAAACAAACATTCACTAATAGTTAGAATATGGGATGTACAAAGTAAGAATCTAGGAAAATTGGAAGTCATCAAAGATGAAATAGAATGGATAATGAGTGTTATGTTAGCCACTAGTGAGTTGAAAAACAAGGCTCCAGGAATTGACAGATTAGCTATTGTGAATCAGACAATCATATATATGGTCTACCATGCCAGGAAATGACAAACTGAAGAGGAATGATGTCGGATTCATTGTCAAAGAGAACTTTTCAAGACCTGTCTTGAAGTACAACACTGCCAGTGATAGGATAATAGCCATACATCTTCAAGGAATACCAATTTAATAAGACTATTATTCAAATGTAGGCATCAATCACTAATGCCAAAGATGAAGAAATTAGAGATTTTTACCAACTCCTGTAATCTGAAATTGATCAAATATGCAATCAAGATGCATTGATAATTATTGGTGATTGGAATTTGAAAGTTGGAAACAAAGAAGAAGGATCAATAGCCAGAAATTCAAGCTGGATTCAGAAGAGGGCATGGACTGTGGGGTATCATTGCTGATGTCAGAAGGCTCTTATGATTCAATAGTAAGTAATTGTTATCATGACTAACTGCAGTTGTCACAGCTGTAAAGGTAAAAGTTTTGTAACATAAAGGGGGAAGTAGTTAATCTAACATTTCAGCAACAGAGGACCCTAGAACTATCAAGGTAGAAGAGAATGATCGGAATTTGGGACCCTATCCAGAGAAGCAGTGACACCAGAGATGGAGACAGAGGTGATGGCATGGAGAGACAGAGCAGCTGAGGACTCTAGATTCACAGAAAGAGAAAGGCTGTGTGCTGGCATCCAGGAGGCAGGCTTGCAGAATGTGCCCTTTGGTTGTTTAAATTATTATATATTCCTGAGTGTTTTTGTGTACATCGAAAACAAAAACCAAAAACAGAGGGAATGGAAGCAAATACTGTTAAATAATGATTCATGGAGGGGATGGTAATCATTGCAAAGAAACGAAATACAATAGGATGAGTGCAAAACCAATGTTCTTCCATGTAACTATCACTCAATTCACAATAAAAGCTTTTTTTTAAAAAGGCATCTTTAAAGTGTTAAAAAGCGAAGTTGTCACTTTAAGGAATAGATGCACCTCACCCAAGCCATGATATTTTCAATAGCTTCATATGCATGTGAAAGCTGGATGATTAATAAGAAAGACCAGAGAAGAAGTGACATCTTTGAATTATGGTGTTAGTGAAGAATATTAAATATACCACGGACTTACAAAAGAAATAACACATCTGGGTTAGAAGAAATACAATCAGAATGCCCCGTAGAAGTGATGATGATGCGATTTTGTTTCACATACTTTGGATTTATTATTTGGAGGGATCAGTCCCTGGAGAAGGACATCATGCTTGGTAAAGTAGATGGTCAGAACAAAAGAGGAATACCTTCAATAAAATGGATTGCTACAGTGGCTGCAACAATGGGCTGAAATACAGCAACAATTATGAGACTTGCACAGGGTCAGGCAGTGTTTTGTTTGGTTGTATACAGGACACAGAACTGAGTTGATGGTACCTGAAGCAACAGTAACATAGGTTGGGAGTAATGTAGGCTGTCCAGTTTTTCTATGTACTGATGCAGTCAATCTGGCCTGACCAGATGATAGAAATGAGTGCTCAATTTCTTAGAGAATGTCAGTGTGCCCTGCAAGCATGCAGAAAGTGTATGTATGTACTGGTATGCCTTGGGTGGAGGGGACAGGTATAGGGCTCTCTGCTGCATTTCGGCTGAGAGAGGAAGAGAATAGATAGGGTGGCCTACCTGTCAGACACGTCGAGGAGAGGCAGAACCGTACACTGCCACAGACTCAAGCCTTCATTGGTATCAACATGCCAGACCATCCTGCCCTGTTCCTTCCCAGTTTTGTTCTCCACCAGCATCAAGGATAAGTTTCCCTTCAGGATTCCACGGATGAGCCAGTACATTCGAAGCTAAGAGGGAGAGAAGAGCAAGAAGATGTCAACGTTGGAAGAAAGACTTTGGTCTCCTTTATGGAATTCTCAACTGATGTCTACAGGATTTTGTTGAGGACTCACTCAAGGTCTGCCCAGTGAGGAAAGTTGGATATTGACAAGGAATATTAGCCACTGTCTTTTAGAGTGTCTTCAATTAAGGTTCAGATTGCTGGATTGGGGCAATTGAGGGGCAGTTTGGAGACTTTGTTCAGGTTAATGTTATCATGCTAAATTTCACAAGATTCTGTCTCTAAGGTGATATCAAGATCACTGAGGCATTAAGTGGACCTCCTAAAGAGGAAGCAAACATTCTTCTCTGTGGTTCTGTAGTGGATTGAATGGTTTTTCTCCCCAAAATAACGTGGAACTTCAGAATATGACCTTATTTGGAATAAAAGTCTTTACAGATTTAACTAAGATAAAGAGCTTGAGATAAGATCATCCTGAATTAGGATGGGCCCTAAATCCAATGACGACTGTTTTTAGGAGGGACAGAGAAGGAGAAGACAGGGAGACGCAGAGGGGAAGGCCATGCGAAAATGGAGGCAGACATTCAAGTCTGCAACTACAAGCCAAGGAAAACCAAGGATTGTTGGCAGCCAGCAGAGGCTAGGAGAGAGGCCTGAGGCAGATTCTTCTTTGGAATCTCCCAAAAGAACCAACACTGCTGACACCTTGCTTGATTTTGGAACTTTAGCCTCCAGAACTGAGACAATTAATTTTTATTGTTTAAAGCCACTAAGTTTGTGGTGATTTGTTACAGTAGTCCTAGGAAACTTACAGAGGCTTCAGTTTCTTTGTGATCGTCGGTAAATGATTTTGTGACTCTTTTAGTGATTTAGGTATTTTTGTATTCTGTCCTCAAATACTTTAATAATCACAGAATGATGTTATAGTTTGTGCCCTGTGTTAGCCAACTAGAGTTCCTATAACTTGATGCCTGTGACCACTGGTAGGCAAAGAACAAACAAACTTCTACAAAGCAAGATATTTTAATATGGTTGTCTTTCAGGATGAAGATGCTCGCTTCATCAAAGGGAGCTATAACCTTGTGCTTTCAGAGTGTCTTTATTAAAGGTCCTTATGGATTTGTTTCCTATACATTTGAAAAGAAATTGTAACTAATAATCTTTCTGAGAAAAGTTTAAGTACATCCTTGCCCAAAGGCAGTATATATTATTAACAAGGTTTCAGGGCTTTGTGTTTAAAATAATAGAGGTTGTATGTTTGATAGAAATAATCTATAAACAAAATTTAGAGCTAAGGGCAGTATTATCAGATTGGTGTCCAAAATAGTATTTTTCAGATAGTATAATAAAAATATCTATTTTAGAAAAGAAGGTGAACTATGCCCTATGGCAAGTTGAAGTTTTCAACAGCTAGGATTCCACCTTTTCTCTGATTATCATTGTTTGAAGTCATGTTTCCTTGTAAATCACTATTCTTTGTCTCCCATTCCAGATCCCATCCTTGCCTTACAATTTAATCGAGGAAGCTAAGTACCAAAAGATATTAGAGCCAAAGACTTCCCACCTCTTACCTTGTTTAACAGGGCCATCCCTGAACGTTGGGGTCCCCAGGTACTTCTCTACTTCTGAGATCCTAAATTTGGTAAATCCAATCTAAACCACAGCCTCTTCACTTATACCTGCGTGCTTCTATCTCCATATCCAGTAGATCAAATATTTGTCTTCATTGAAAATTCCCAGGATAATTCAGTAAGTCTATTAATTTTATAAATACTTTCTTGTGCTGTCTGGAAGCCATGTTTGGAAATTTTAATCCTATTTTGGCTGACCCTATACTCTCAGCTCTCAGCCCATATCATATGATGTTCAGCTGGGGATAAGACTTGACACATACTTTTTTTCATTTTGCCCCATGGCCACAGAATATTACTGATTTGAGCCTTTATGAATTCAGACTGTTGAACCTCAGTACCCTGAAGAGTTAGTGTTACTTATTCATCCACTGAGCATACTTAGTACAATGGGTGTTTCGAGTTCCCTCCATTGCCTCAAGCATTGATGCTGTCACCTCCTAATCCCCCTACTCCTAACCCATTATCTTGATTCCTACTATACTGAGAAAGGAGCTCTGGTAGCATAGTGGTTATGAATTGGGCTGCGAACCTTAAGGTCCGCGGTTTGAAACTACCAGCCACTCCGTGGGAGAAAGATGAGGCTTTCTACTCTTGGAAACCCGGTACAGGGTTGCTATGGGTCAGAACCAACTTGATGGTACTTAACAACTACATCTATACTGAGAATGATTGATTGTATCAGGTGCAATTCATGTTAGCATCTCTTCTTTTTTTCTTGGAAGTGTGTCTATTTACCCACCCTCTCTTCCTTTCCTGTCTTAGAGGAAGATGTATCTTTCATGTTTTTCTGTTAACCCCTTCATCTTTTACCTCCCCCTGGTCTGTGCTCTCTCAATTATTCCTCCTTTCTATAGCACTTTCAGAGTCTCTCCCTTATGGCTCCTCTGTCTACAAATAAGATCAGATCTTAACCTATGCAAGAAAAATACCCTTTACTTGATGTGTCAGCTCCTCTGACTTACAACCTATTTCTGTCCCTCCATCCAGATGAGGACATCTTGGATAATTGGTATGAGGACATCTTGGATAATTGGTATGTAGCTGCTACTTCTACCTCCTCATCACTCCTTCTCTAAAGTCTTTCAACCTGGCTTCTATTGTCATTGTAACAAAGTAACACTCAGGATATTCTGTATAACTAACTCTCAGACCTCTTTCTACAGCTTTCTAAGGTGCTTCTCTCTCTTAGCTCTTTCTCTCGTCTAAATCCTTTTGTATAGATTTATTCCAGTTTCCTGTTTATCACTGCCACTGTGACTCAGCTCAACAACCTTCGCTGTAGTCTCACTCCCTATCAAATAGAATCAAGACATTCATATTCCTCTGTAATCTCAGCAAACCAACTTTTTGTTCACTCAGTGGATTTTTGTTAAGTCCTCTATACTGAGCCATATCTATTCTCCATTCTAATAAGTCTAAGAGCTCCAGAATTAGAGATCTCTGGATTCAAAATCTGCTCTTGCCATGGTTTTTCTTTTAATTTTTAAAAAGTTTTTACTGCGAATTAAGTGATAGTTTACATGGGAGAACATCCGTTTTACATTAATCATTTCATTACAATGATTACAATCTCCTCTGTGCATTATCATTCAACAGTATTTGCTTCTATTCCCTCTTTTTTTGGGGGTGGGAGGGATATACACAAAAACACTCAGGAATAGATAATAATTTAAACAACCAAAGGGCACATTCTGTAAGCCTGCCTCCTGGCCACCAGCACTCAGTTTTTCTCTCTCCATGAGTCTAGAGTCCTCAGCTGCTTTCTCTTTCCTTGCCATTATCTCTGTCTCCATCTCTGGTGTCGCTGTTTCTCTGGATAGAGTTCCATATTCCACTTGTGCTCTTCTCCTTGATAGTCCCAGGGTTTTCTGTTCCTGGAATGTAAGATTAACTATTTCCCCCTTTATGTTACAAAACTTCTACCTTTACGGTTCTGACAATTGCAATTAGTTATGATAACAATTACTATTGAATCATAAGAATCTTATCCCCATCTCCTTTCCCCAGACCCATCTAGACATGATGAAAACTATTCAGTAGGAATTCTACCTTCCCCTACACACTCCGAAACTAAACTCCCTTGAAAACTTGTAAGCCAGTCACTTCATGTCTTTATAGCCCCACCCCCACCCCCACCCCATTTTAGGTAGCCAATGTCTAAGTTGCCCATCTCTATCAACCCTGTGTACAGAAGGGATGAAAATGATCCATAATGTGAAGATTCCTTCCCTCTCAGTTGGTATTTTGAGCTACTACATCCATAGGAATAGGTCAAGTTCATCAAATTATAGCAATTTATACTCATTTCCTTTATCAAAAAAATTTTTTTTAATCTTCCTCTAGTCAAGTTCTGATCATTTAGTCATTGAAGCTATGTCAAATGGGTACTCTCTGCAAGTTTTGGCATTTTTGTGCATCTCTCCTCACTTCATTTCAGCTGGACACTTCATTCTCAGTTCTACCCCTCCATGGCCACATCCTTGTCCATGGGCCCAGGAGTCCCTAGGTCTCACATACTTCAGACCAACCAGCCCTTCCTCTTCTCTCTCTCATCTCCAGGTCATCAGGAGTCCCTTGAACATGGTTGAACTAAGCTCATATCTTCCTTGCTGCTTCCCCCCACATGCCTGCTTGTGTATTCTCTTTGAGTTTCAGTCTTGGAAGGGGGTTTGTCCTGAAGGGACTTGATTGATTGCCTTGATGGCTTCCTGGTGAACAACTTGCTTTTTCTTGTAGTAGCCAATCAGAGTGCCATTTTTGTTTTGATTTTTTCCTGCTGATCTTTCTTTCTAGAAGTAGCTTCTGTTCTTCTAGTAGCTCCAGGCTGGTCTGTTTGTACTTTCAAGTGGGAATGCCCCACCTCAGAAAGTTCCCGATGGGGCTCAGGATTCCACCTAAGGTCTTATACCCTATAAAGGCTCCACAAGAAGCCTCTTTCACTGTCTTGCCATGTTTTGGAAACTTAGTTTCCTATTATGAAAGATGGAAATGGTTCTGTCAAGCTTACTAGCTGCTCCTCGGAAACTCTACACAGGGTCACTATGGGTTGGAATCGACTCGATGGCACTTAACAACAGTGACAATTAAATGAGATAATAAATAGTGTATCAAAATGTCAAAAAGGAACTTTTGGTGGCAATATTGAGACAACAGATGCCAGATTTCAATGGGAAGTATGAGAACACCAGGGCAGAGGGCTTTCAAGAGAGAGGTGGATGAAAGTGAGCTTCACACTTCTTAACCCCTTGGCCATACTTTAGATATGAAAAGGTTGATGGCCAACCATTAGGATAGAGTCTTTGGAGAATGCTTTTGGTATATCATAAGGTCTTTCTCACTTTCCTGCAAAGAAGGGGGTGTGGAGGTAGTTCCT